CCCCCCCCCCCCCCCCCCCCCCCCCAGACATTGCCATCTCAAAATATTGATAAAATAACTTTTTGGACAAATTAGATGCAGCTTTCTTTATATTTCAAAACATTTTTTTTTTTTCTCTAGTCGCATTAAAATAAATTATGATATGCTATGAAATGCTATGTATGGTCAACCCTTCTATATGGCTGTGAATGCTAGACAATCACTAAAGACAGTGAAAATAAAATAGAAGCAACAGAAGTGTGGTTTCTTAGGAGACTGCTGAGGGTATCGTGGAAGGAAAAGAAATCAAATGAGGTAGAGCTTGAAGAAGTCCACGCGGGACGCTCAATTTTAAAAACAATCAGGAAACAAAGAAATGCAGTTTTTGGGACACCTGAAGAGAGATGAAGGGTCTTGAGCATCTAGCTCTCGCTGGCAAAATAGTCAGGGAAACATAGCTTTTTTGAGAGCATCCGAGCAAAGGAATGAAAGGAGAACCATGATCACCGATGTCTGTCGCAGATCTGGTGCTGGATGATGATGACGACAGTGTTCACAGTCTTTTTGTGGTTAATGCTTCAATATACCCCCAAAAGTGTCAGGCTGCAATGATTGTTGGGTGACAAATAGCTCAGGGTCAAGTGAGTTAAAGAAAATGTGAGTGAATTTTACTCAAAAACATAGATAAAAGGAACAAAATTGAGAAATTTTCAGTTTCCGTGGGCTCTCAAGGTAAATTTTGGAAGCCATTTTCTCGCAGAAATGCGTGCTTTGTGCGCATTAAATGATAATTACCATAAATACAAGGATACACCTAAAACTGTATGTTGAAAAGTACCAAAAATTAAGTCAGCCCAGACAGAGCAGCGACTGGGAGCTGACCCCCGTGACCCCGACGAGATAAGGCGCTCGGCGGGGAATCCCCCGCTGCAACTAAAATTCTACAGCTGGTGTGCCATGGACAAGACGTCAAGACGTGTGAAGAACTATTTTATGCCTGTGACAGTGGGACTTCTTGTACAAATTATGAGGCTGAGGCCATTGCTATTGAAGCAGCAATCCTCCACCAGACCAACATTTTCATTACACATCCAGACAAAATCAAGGACACTGTAATCTTCACAGACAAAAATCAGTACTCCAAGCTTTGGAAAACATGAATTTTGAAAGCCCGGCTTGCCACTCTGTGGCTCAAACAATTAACACTTTCGTGCACACCTATGCTGTCGACCTGGTTTTACAGTGGATACCACGCCACAGCAACATCCCGTGAAACGACAGAGCAGACACCCTTGGCGAGAAGAGAGCACCACAAACATAACCTCAAAGCCCAGTATCACAACAGACAGTCAAGAACATCATCAAACGCAATACCAGGGAACAGTGGCTGAATCAAACATGAAGTTTCAGGCATGAAATTTCAGGCATTGAGCAAAACTGGAAGAGCTGTATTTGCACACATGACTGCTCCCAACTCAAAAGACGCACTAAATTCCCTCAGTAGAAGAGAACAAGTCACTATCATTCGCCTGCGAACACAACACATCCCACTGATTTGGTACCTAAATAGGATCCGCAAGGATACCCACCTGACTGCCCGTTGTGTGACTGCCAGGATGAAACAGTATCACGCTATCTCTTTACCTGCCCCGCACTTAGCAACCTGCCTCCTCAGATATCCGAAATACTTTATACAGAGACAAAACACAGCTGATAAAAACCTGTAAATTCTTTGCCATATCGACAGGCTGAAAGGACTAAAACCCAGATGGCTGTTGGATCGGAAAAGTAAAAGTAAAGTAAAGTAAATGTTTGTGTATGTGTGAGTGTGTGCATGTGTGCAAGTGTGTGTGTACTTGTACATGTGTGTGTGAGCCTGTATATATACATGTGTATGCTTGTATGTGTGCTGTAAATAATACTCACGAGAGGCTTCCAGCGGATATTCGAACAGAGTCTCTGGTACAATGGGATCGTCAGCAGAGTTAACGATCAGCAAAGGTGTCTGCACCTGATCGTGAAACAGTTGAGAAAATCAGACATATACAGCCCGCTGTTATGATGTACTTAGCACAAAATTCTGAATTTTTTTTTTTTAATGCAGTTTTAGGCAATAATTTGTCGTATCTGTTATTGGTGCTGGAAAAACATTTTGCCAAAATTCAAATTCAAAATGTTGAAAAAAGCAAGAAAAGATATATATAATGTAGGTGCAACTGTGAAAAAGATTAAAACAGTTTATTTACTCTCTTGAAAAATTTTGCCAATAGCTTGCCAATAATATGACATTCTTCATTGCTTTCAGGGGGAAATCAAACATTAAGTATCATACTTTTTAAAAAAAAACAGTAACAGGAGAAAAACCAAATACAATTGTAAGACTGTTTTTTTGGTTTTTTTACAGCCTGAAAACAGTTCTAAATCAAAGCAACCTGAAAGCAGCTTTTACAGAAAGAAAAAAACAGGAGAAAAATGAACTACAACTTTTTACTCAATTATCTTTTACACATTGAAAATGTGACTAAATGGGTCACGACACGGAATCAGGCGCTCCTCAATTTGTGAGCATATGGAGTTATTGGTATCATCTTAACGGGAGGAGCGACCCTTGAGGACCATATTCTATGTTTGTTGCCCGAGACCAAATCTAAGTACACATATAAGTAAGGCATAGGTAAATCTCTTGATACGCAACTTTATTTTGGCATAGCGACAGCGGTTGCTATGGAAACGGCCACCATCTTGAAAATAAACAATGAATCTCAAATCCCTGAGGCTTTCTTATTTACATACCAAATTTGGAGAGAGTATACCTGATTCAGACTCTTATCAGCGTACAGCGAGTTTTTTTTTTTTAAAAGCGCCAAAAAAAAAAAAAATTAGAATTTTCCCAAAGTATTAAAAAAAACATTTTCTAAATTTAGGTTGCATAATTGCTTGCTAATGGAAAAGTGTTATTTTTTTTCGCAAATATCTCTCTGTTACATTGATAGCAGCCTTGCCATCTAGATTCCCATGTTTCCTGAAAGTTTCATGTCAAAAGGATGAAGAAGTAGGGAAAAAAATGCCCAAAAAATGACATTTTCCAAAAAACGACAATTATTGTGAAAATTCACTATATCAACCCACCCTCATGTTTTCAAAAGCAATTTACGAGAAGAAAAAAGACTTTCTCAATTGTCTCCATGCTAATTTTAGACAAAGGACTGGTCGGTCTTCAAAAATCAGCCAACATCTCAATGTGCATAGCCTGACCCAAAATCGGCAAAATCAACGGTCACTCCTTCTCCACTTAAAGGTTGTTCATTTGATTTGCTTTCGATGAAAAAAAACATCCATTTATCTTGAATAGAAGTCAACATATTTGTGATTGAAGGAGGTGGTGTCATCTGGTTCCAGAAGTAAAATTATCAAGAAAATGGTTGCCAAAGTTTGGTGACTTCCATTGCTTAAGAGTCCTTGGAAAATGCAAATTTACACTTTTTTGTGCCTTTAATCAACGTTTTTCCATAAAATCTACACATACAAGTGATTTTGAATGGACATACAAGGCGTTCAGCGTTGAGCCAAAAAACAAAAATGCAAAAAAAATTTCAAACAGCCCGAAAAATGCCGATTTCTCAGATTTCACTATTTTGACAAGCGCCTGATTCCACCAGAATGCCTTAAAAATATGTGCAACGACGCAGTGGAATCCGGCATTCGTCAATTTTTGGGCATATAGATTTATTACGGTCATCTTAAAGGCCGTTTATTTGCTTTGCTGGATTGAAGGAGGTGGAATCGCCTGGTTTCAGAAGTAAAATTAGCAAGAAAATAGCCGCCTAAGTTTGGTGATTTCTATAGCTTAAGAGTCCTTGGAAACTGCAAATTCACATTTTTTGTGCCTTTAATCAACTTTTTTCCATAAAATTCACACATAAAAGTGTTCTTGAATGGACATACAAGGTGTTGAGCAGAAGAAAAACAAATTTTTTAAACAGTTTCCAAACTAGCCCAAAAATGACGATTTTTCGGATTTTATTATTTTGACAAGCGCCTGATTTCACCATGCTGCCCCACATATGATATAAGTGTTAGCACAGTTTGGTGAAAATTAATGAAAACCCAGCATGTAATAGTGGTGTCCTTAGCTTAGTAGTAATGCTTCAGGACCTGTCATTGTAAGATTGTGGGTCTGGGGTTCCCGTGACTTTCCCATCTAGCTCGGTCCTTTTGGAGATGGACCATAAAAACAGAGGTCCTGTCTGAAAATAACCTAATGATGTTGATAGCGACATTAAACCTATACCATTTCATTTCATCTGCCATTCTACAATATAGGACACAAAATATGTCGTACTGAACAGTATCATCACTGATTTTAAAAAGGAAGATGAAAAAAATGTTGACAGGCGGAGGAGGAGAAGGAAGAGGTTAAGACAGAAGAGGTTGAGGAGCAAAAGGAAGACACAGAGACAGAAGGAGGACTCGGAAAAAGAGGAGGAGAATGAAAGTGAAAATGAGAAGAAAGAGGCTGAGAAGGAGGAGAACAAGGCTGAGGCGGAAAAGGAGGAGAAGGAAAAGGACAGAGAGATGGAAAGGACATGGAAAAGGAGGAGGTGGCTGATGAAGAGGAAAGGAAGGAGAAGGAAGAGCAGAAGGGACTGGAAGATGACAATAAGGCAGATCAGGCGGAGGAGAATGAGGATGTAGAGAGAAAAGAAAGGAAGAGGAGAAATAGGAGGAGGAGAAAGAGTAGGAAGATGACATTGAGGAGGATGAGGACCCACATTGGACAGGTAGTGACTGCAACTACTATGATGGTAGAACTCTTCCCGGCTGTTAAAACCAAACAGCTTCCTGAAAGAAAGCAAAACATATCATTGACAGGGGAAGAAAGAGCATAAGAAAGCAATGCAAACTATTGAAAATGAAAGGCAACGAAAGTAAACTGTTGAGAGCAGAATAAAGTAAAACAAATTACTGAAAACAGGAGAAAGGAAAACATATTACCGAAAACAAGAAAGCAAAACGAGTTGTTGAGAGCAGGAGAAAGCACACAGCCACAAAGCTTGCACACAAATAATCCTAACTTGAATGGGTTCAGGTGTCGGGGGCAATTTATATAACACATAGGTACCGTATATATTAATATACTCATCTATAACACAACTTCACATGTAATACAGGCAGGGCTACCTACCTCAAAATTCCCATTTCAGGTAAATTGAGGGTCAATTTCAAGAATTTACAAGAATCAGGTAGTACAAAGACAAAGAAGAAAAAAAAAACCCCTGAACATTACGCCGGTGTACGAAGTTCCCATTGACAGGGCTTGTTTTTGTGATATTAATAATAACAATAATGTAGATCATTTCTTTTGCGCCCACTCCCGTATGAACACAGTTTTAGATGCTTAACATAAATGCATGTATGAATAATATTTACGAACGCGCGCACACACACACACACACACACACACACACACACACACACACACACACACACACACACACACACACAAACACACAATCTCACATTACACGCACACGTACACCAAACACATGCGCAGTCCTGTATATAACTTAGGTACAGTGGGTGTCGCATTCAACGAGGCCACATTCAACAATATGTCGGCTCCAACAAGGCAATCCTTAATCCCCGATTTTTTCCTCTATATCTCTTTGTAAATATTTTGAGTACTTAGTGCAAAAATTCAAGAGTACAACCCTGTCAAACAGCTCAGTTAACAATGATCAGTCTAATTCATCTCACTGAACAATGACCTAAATGAAAATGTTGTACAAGAAGGAATTATGTCGAACAAATAATAGAGGGAGGTTATTCTTTTAGACCTCACATTTAAAAAAATTGCTTGTGATGTAGGTGAGTACTTTCTCAGAGTTAAAAAATCCCTGTTACTCCAATTTCATTATTTTGACGAGCCCCTGATTTCTCCACGCTGCCTCATATATTATGTCTTTGGTTTTTTTACATCGGTTAACCCGAATTATGGATGTGTCAAACACATTTGTTAATCCCTGATGTCTTTGACTTATCAGCTTCCCATAGTATTAGTCTTTGTCTTCGGTCAAAAAACCTACCTTGTGTAAGCTTCGTCCAGACCAGAGAGGAGATGAGCAGAGAAGACCTCTTGCTCGTCCGCCACTCCGATGCGCTGTTTTTCTTCATCAGACAACAAGATATCTTTGTGCCGCTTGATGATCCGCTTCTGGTTGGCAGTCATAACGTACACATATCCCTGCCGCAGGTTGGTCCATGAGGTCAGTACTTCCACCGCCCTGGGGGAAAATAATCATCATAACAGTCAAACCTGCTATTTTCATTCAGCTTTCTTTTTGACCAATTTTAGTAAAAGTTTAGCAGTACTTGCATCACAAATAAGTGATATAAGTGGCAGAGATTAGAGAAGTGACTAGAGAGTAACATACATACTAAGAAGAGAAGAAGGAGAGATATGTACAACAGATGCTTGATTTTGACTAAAAAAGAAGGATCAAACCACATCAAAGCCCTCCCCATCCACCAAAGCATCAGCTCTAACAGTCATCTGTCTAAGACAATCATCTATACAAACACTTCCCAATTCTCCATTTGTGTCTTTTCCCTAAATTATGATACTGTCTAAAAAAACATATGACTAAAACACCTACAATACATGTTTCATATGAAAGAAAGAGCAAACCGCACCCCATCCCATTCGACACTCCCAACAACCCTCCGCACTGACCTGTTGACGTCATAGCCCTGGCAGAAGGAGACAGCGGCCAGGATGCCCTTCTGGTGGGCAGCTGACTCTCCCAGATACTTGACTACAATGTTAGCTCCCATGCTCAGCCCCACCAGAACCAGGTGGCAGTGCGGGTACAGACGCTCTACTTCCGCTCGTACCAAGCCAAGCTCTTCTGTACCGCCTGATGGAAGGAGGAGAAAAGTTAAAAGTCAAAATTGCAAAAAATTGCAAGGTAAACCGCCTAAAAATTGCAAAAAATTGCAACCTTCCCATCCCAAGCGCATTAGTTCCGGCTTAACATTTTTAGTTTAAAAAACGTGACAATTTTGAGTACCGATAGCATAAAAGCAGCACAGCCTTTTAAAAAATCATGAGAAACAATACAAATTCATTAAATGTTATTAACAACATATACTAGTTACAACACACGAGTACGTTAACATAAAGTTATCGACCAAATATAATATGATAACACGTGTCACAAAATAACGGAACCCTCGGTTTTCGTAATAACTTTTAAATGAAGGCATAAAATTTGACCAAATTTAGTACATGCAGAGTACTTGTTTCATGCAAAAATCTAGAAGTGTATGAGGTTTAGTCTATAAAAAACAAAAAAATTGACGAGAGATTTTCGAAACAACCTGTAAATACAAAATAAGCTAATGCTCCAATCAAACCAGATCCTGTTCTATTTTTCTCTTGAAACCTTCGATACACCGGTAATCTGTATTTAGATCTATTTCAGATATTTTTTCTTTTAAAACCGGTATGGTATTGTTTTAAGACTAAGTCAAATCATAAAATACAGCAATTTTTTTTTTCCATCTATAAACAATAGTAATACATATACTAATGTAGATTTAGATCATTTCTATAGCACCCACTCCCGTGTGAACGCAGCTTAAGGCGTTTTACATAACGGGGTGTTTACGTACACGGTACACGGACACCTAGCCTCAGTGTCTACATACACAGTAACCGGCAGCCGGGCACGTAGTCTCAGTGTCATGTACACGGTAACCGGGCAGTTAAGAATTCCAAGTTCAGTTTTTGTCATCCGGTGTTGCCTTCAACTCCAGCCTTCCCCCGACAGTACATTTTTAAAAAAAATCAATAATTCTCCCATTCCAGAGCCCTATACTTCGTAGCGCACAGACTTTGAATGAACTTTGGTGACCCCAACCGGTACTCACAATGTGATGCGAAAGCACAGGTTCACTGACCGGTAACGATGGCGAGCCCGACAAGACACGTGTATAACTTTCTTTTTTTATTTCAACAAGTGACAGCACAGGACAAATATTGCACAATTTTCATTCCGGTGGGTTACAGTGTACGTAGATACTGAGACTAGGTGCCCGGTTATCGTGTATGTAGACACATGCATCATGTACGAACAATATTCACGCGTGCGCACTCACACGCACACACACTCACGTACACCTCACACACGCACACACCTACTTTCTTATCACACGCGCACGCTTACACATATTAGATAAAGGCCTAGCCCAAAGAAGGTCCCCTTCTCGTCCTAGCTTATGTCTCAGTTTGTGTTGAACATGATGCATGCCGGCCTGAATTTCCGGTTATAGCTTTTAGAGTACGCTCAGTAGGCTTGAGCTGGGCCGATACCATGATTTACGTAGGCCTATCGGCTCTGTACTCGCACCATTTTGTATTAAAAATTCTGTTAAAATTAAAGCGTTGATGTTTTTTTGCCTAAAATTGCAAGAAATTGCGAAAATTGCAAAAAAATGCGGGTTTATTGCGGAACTCGACGAAAAACGCGATTTCCTGGAGGGCCAGCTATACCTAAAAATGAGTAACACCAATGGATTGTATGTTCATTTCTCTTTTATTCAGTGCTTCCACCAGCTGAAGCTGAAAAGTAAGGGAAATTCTGCCAGGGTCTGAGCGCGAGAACGGAACTGAATCGTCACCCTTCCCTGTGGAATGCGATTCGCGATTCACTTCAGCGCCCCGATTCACTCCCCTGTCGCTGTCACCACCTTGTGGCTCGTCTGTAACCTACTGCTGGGTCGGGAGTCAAATCGCGAGAGACTTCAGTATTAAACAGCCTATCGGAGTCTGTTGGATTGAAGATCCACCCCGGGAAAGTCAAAGGACAGGTGCACAACGAAAGGAGCAGGTCACAATAGAAGGAAAGGCACTAGAAAACATTGAATCCTTCTGCTATCTTGGGAGTATAATTGACAGAGAGGGAGGAACAGGTGCTGAAATGAAGTCCAGCATTGGAAAAGCACAGGTTGCTTTCATATCTTTGGATAGGATTTGGAAGACCAGAGATATCTCACTTCGAACAAAGCTGAGGATTTTCAATTCAAACGTGAAGTCGGTCCTGTTGTATGGATGTGAGACATGGAACGCATCACAGACTTGCAAAAAGATGATCCAGGTTTTCTTGAACAGGTGTCTAAGAAAGCTACTGAGGATCAGATGGACAGACAGGGTCACCAATGTGGAAGTGTTAAGAAAAACAAGACAGATCCCAGTCAGAGATGAGGTAGGAAGAAGGCGGTGGCAATGGATTGTACATACTTTCAGGAAGTCAGGCAGCTGCATAACAAAGAAAGTTTTGGATTGGAACCCACAGGGCAACAGATCAAGGGGAAGACCTCGTGGAACCTGGAGAAGAATCACAGAAATGGATGTACAGAAAAGTGGGAAGACATGGAATAACATCAAGAGGCTAACCCAGGATAGAGAAAGGTGGAAGGTGTTTGTCCGTGGCCTATGCCCTGGTGCAGGGTGAGAAAGGCAATGATGATGTTGACGCTGTCGCAGTTTTTTACAGAGGGAGTTGATAATGACGGAGGAACAAGTACGGAACTGACAGAAAGAAGGGAATTCCGTAAAAATACGGAAGAGTGGAAGCACTGTTTATTTGACGTATACTTCGCTATCTAGCCTTATAGTAAGCGAGCTATAGCCATTCCAAAAGCAGACAGTGTCACACACAGCCACTGTAGAAATTTCCTTAGCACACGCGGTGGACTTATGGTTAGCAGTCAAGGGGTTAATGACATAATCTCTTTAAGACTTTCATTCAATACCGTAACAAAAGTCTTCTTCACTTTACTATTAAAGTTACCATCCCTTACCATAAGAAAATATTCGAGGTGAGGATAATGGTGTATTCTTCAATGAGCCCAAATGATTCAGCACCACACTGATGTAGCCGTTCTTTTGTGCGTGATGCACCAGCGTGCGTATGTACGGGGATTCACTTGAGTTCCCTATGCCAGGGCAGAAGATAATGCAGTATGACCCTGAAAGAGATGGAAAGAATAGGATTTCAGTATGTAAACTTGTCGTATCAGGATAACATCACCAGCCAGCCGTTCAGATGCACTAAGTGACTAAGTCCAAAATTTTGACATTTTTGTTGTCGCAGTTTCTTAACCTGTGGTATTAGTTGTTAAAATTTTTTTAACTCAAATTCTAAATCTAGAAAAAAGCAAGACAAAATAATCGATAAATTAGGCACAATTGTTAAAAGAATGTAAGTTTTCTCTGTCTCTAGAAAAATTCAACATTTTGGGCTTAAAACATTCGAACAGTTGGCCAACAATATAATACTCTTCGTTTAGGCAGAGTGTCCGAACAGTGTTGACAAAAACTTGCCTCCTATTATTTCCATTTCGCTATCATGAACAAAAAATAGTAAACAGGCCTCTCCAAGAGATGAGCAGCCGCTCCCAGAAGCCGGTGTTGCGTGGGGTGATGCACACAGATAGATATAAAAGGTTTCTAAACTAAACAGCCATGGATGCGAATAAAACCCTGAATGTTCTTTTTTAGATTCTCTGAGAAAAGCTGCACTCCTTTGTCATTGTGTTTATGTTCCTTCTTTGTTTTGAGTCGGAGCACAAGTTGTGAAAGAACTAATAGACATTAGTCGAGTTGTTAAAAAAAATAATTTCCGTCAAATCATGGAAATCAGTTCCTGGGTCAATGAGTTAAAGACCCAAAAACTGATATTCATGTAAAAAAGACAACTGTGCCCACCTCCTGTCTTGTGAGGAACCTCGGGCTCATACAGGTCAAAGGTTAGCGTAGCTCCATCGGCCATGCCTGTGGTATGGCGGACTCCGTTAGGTACCGGCATGTTGACCCTGCCCATCTTGGCATACAGAATGGTTTGAATGTGGCCACTTTTGCCCCACAGCAATGTCGGTACATACCTAGACATGTGGGAGAAAAATAATCGACAAATGAAGATGAAGATGCAATCACCATCACAGACACACATTCCTTACTTCTTGCAATGGCTGACTATTTTTTTTGGGGGGGGTAACTTTTGCGGCGCTCGCAACTTTGGACACATTAAACATTTTAAGTTGGTTGGACATAAAAAAATTTTGCCCCGGTGGCAGCCGAAGTATACTCTTATAGATTTTGGGCCACAAAGAGATCTTTAACATGTAACATGCGGACTTTGTACACGAGACCTCCGACTGAGAAGGTTAGGTGTAGATCTTTCCTACCATTAGATCAGGGGTGTGGCTGATATACAGCAGTATGAAGGAGCTAAGGAGTATCAGTAGAAAAGCTGCAGAAACAGTCAGGAGCCCAGAGGAGGGGGCAAAGAAGGTGATGGGGTGGGGGCAGAAAGTGGAGACGAAAGCAGAAGACAGAATATTGTTAGAGAGTAGGAAAAGATGTGAAAGGAGGAAATTTCAGAGAAGAAAATTTTCTGTTGCTATCCGAATTCAAATCCGGGACCTTAATGAAAGAGAGGTGAACACCTTAACCTCTAGTTTTTCTATCCCTCCATTTCTCTCTAGCTCTCTCTCTTTAGCTCTCCCTCTCCTTCTTCTATTCCTCCACCCCCACTCCCGCCCAAATCTCTCTATCCCACTTCACCCATTCTCGAAATCTAATCAAGTGAGCCTTTTGCACCTGGAGGGGGAAATAGCACTGGAAAGTCTTCAACCCAATTTTAATTATTATTTTCACTTACGGCTGATTCAAAATTGGGCACAGAGTGAGAACCGACTGGACAAAGTCGGAGGAACGGTCCTTGACGTACAGAAGTGGGGCGGAGGACGGTTGCGTCAAATGAAGTAGGCGCACCAGCATGTAGAAGACCAGGCCAAACATTGCCGCCAAAAGCGCAGACATGGTCAGGTGTTTTCTAGAAGGAAAACAGCAATGAACAGGATAAGACAACTTCCCTCTCAACAGTTGCGACAAATGTTGCATGCCTCTAAATGGCAGTCCGATATTATACAAGACGCTGTTTTAGAATTTAGATTAGAGTTTTTACAGCACTTGAAATAAATCTTTTAGTGCCGAGGATTTAAGATGTTACTAGAGAGTTGAAAAAAAAAAGAAAAAAAAGAGAAAAGATAGGAAAATAGATGCTTCATAGAAAAGAAGGAGCAAACCGCTCCCATCAACCACTTAATTTATAGACAAAACCTCTACATGGCTTCTGTGGAAAATAACATTTAGTAGTATTTTATGTTGTATACATTAGAACAAAAATAATGTCACAAAGAAACATTCTGAACACCATGCAGACATATCAAATGTATGGCATCTTTTAAACGGTTCAGCATACAAAGACATTCTAAATATAGTCCAGAAAAAAAAAGAACTCTCACTAAATTGCTTGAATTTGAAAAAGAACAATTCAAACAATCCATAGTAAATGTTTATCTCCTTTTCTCATACAAAGTTGCAACACTGTACGTGGAGACTGCTTAGGCAGATCTATATACATATGTATATACACAGGATGACCAGATTTTCTTTGGTAAGCTGCTGTGTTTTCAGTTTAGTGCAATTGCTCCAATAGCAACAATGACAAAAGCTGCTCACAGATGAAAACAGACGTGTATGGTTGGAGCTGTGAACAGTTTTAGTTACAGTAGCAGTTTTGCAGCACTTGCAACAGAAATATTATAATAATCTGTCCCCGTCGTTTTATGCAAGAAAAATTCTGAAATTATGCAAACTGAGCCCAAAAATGTGAATTTATGCAATTCTGTAAATTTTAACAAAGAATGATAAAGGAAAATAATCAGAAATTATGCAAGAAATGATCAAATTTTGCTAAATTATGCGGGGTGCATAAAACCACGGGGACAGAATAATATCAGTGCTGACGATAAGAGGCATTACTACAGAGTAACATACATTGAAAAGAAGGAGGAGAGATAAAGAAAATAGATGTGTTTGATAGGAAAGAAGAAGCAAACCATACCAGAGCACCCGATAAATCACCTACCCGAAGACTATCTGATAACAGAGAACAGATAAAAAACTTCAATTCCAATGAAGTGCTTACGTATCATTCCAACACCAAAAACTATACGAGTAAACACAAAACATTCAGGTAAATATGAAAATATAAATATATGTACCAGACAAACACAGAATCAGGCTTCGGCTACACTGCAAACATAACGAATGTAAATGAGTCGTTGTGTGTTGTATTCAAAGATCAATATGAAAACAAACGATAAATAAAAACTTTAGATACTGACATTAGCCCTTTTGACCTACAGAATGTTAACAGCTATAAAATATAAAATAATGGCCCCTTTCCTCATAGCTCATGAATAAGTGTACTCAAATTTCATAAGTACATGCATTTCATAGTAGACTGTTGACTCAACCATTAAGCTCAAATTCCTCACCGCAAAGTTTTATTCAAAGCTACGACATCTATAAAACAATAATATAGTTCGTATATTTCTGACAATCAACATTCTCATACAAAGCTAAGATATCCGTAAAATCAACAGCATTCTCACAGAGACACTCTCAGAGGTTCTGCATCTGAACTTCAAAAAAGGAAAAGAAGAAAACATTTTACTCACAGGTGTATGCACTTGAAACTATGGTCACTTCATTTCAGGAAAAAAACAACAAATAAACAAACCTTTCTCCACTAATTCTCATTCCATCACATTATGAAGAGATTAGACAACAATCATTGGTAGCCTTTTACAAAAAGAAAATTGCAGGGCTCTTTCCACTTCGGTCAGTGCTTTTTTCCTATCAAACTTTGTGATGAAAGTTCTTCATCTACAGTTGAAAGCCCCCCCCCCCCCCCCCACACACACACACAAACACACACACAATATTTCAAAATGAACTTAATTTCATTAAAAATATAAATCTTTCTCATATTTGCATGCGCTTATTGCACTGTAAAGCTTACCTGTGAAAATGTTTTTCAATAACCTTACATTCAAACAAAGAACAAAGTCCAACACATTGAAGAAACCCTCCTGACAGCTACAAGACAAAATTGTTGAGCTGACCCATTCAGTTCATCCCCCGCTCTAGATAACAAAAACTTATTTTTAACCATTATCAGTCTGAACTCAAATATGACTCAACAGGTCATATTGATAAAAATCATGGTATCATCAAAAAGTCACATTGTCCTATATCAAAGATAGTAAATAACAAGATGGGCCACTCAGCCAAAAAAGTGTCCGCAGGAAGTATGCGCTTTGCTTCAGATGGCGCTGCAGTCTGTTTTGAAGCTCTCTTTCGTTTTTCCAGAAGAAGAATAGGAATAGCACCTCCTTGCGAGCGCAGATCGACTGCTGTTCATCAGCAGTTCGGGTTCGTTCAGTACGAAGTTTTAGTTTTTTAAAATTTTAATGACCTCTCGCCTTTCATTCTAAAGTCAAATTAAACGAAGAAAACAATCACCCTTTCCTCTGGAAGAGGTTTTTTGTCAGCGTAACCATTTTTAAAAAGCGTTCTTCCAAAATTCATTCAAAAACTTGCTAGTTTCACTTTGATTTTTTAAACTCAAGTAGGATAACTCTGTTTGCAAAAGGTGCGCTTTTGTGAAGAAGGCGCCACCGAATTTTGAGGACACTTTTTTAATTGGCTCAAAGAGAGAAGTGGCCCATCTTGTTATGTACTATCTTTGCCTATATATAGATAATAGGGTAGACAAACACAAAGCTCCAAGAGGACAAAAAAAAAAAAGCTTCAGCTACACCCTCTGAGATAACAGGAACTTCGAGAAGAGCAAAGATAAACATTACATCATGTACTCCCCGTAAAGGTACAGTAAAACAGGTCACTCTAGTCACAACGACCACCACCACCACAAGGCGAACACCTGCTTCAGTAAGCACTGTGCAGCCTGTCACCTGTTGTTTTTTTTTCCTAGCTTTAGTAAAAGTTTGCTCGCCCTTGCAACACCATGGTCACATAAGTGCAAAAAATTTAGGTGTTACTAGAGAAGGGAGAAAAGATATGATGATTTATGTTTGACAGGAGAGTAACGAACGAGCAAATCATACAATAACACTCTCCACTCACTCACATAGACAACTTTCATCAAATCCCCCAAAAATATGCACTCAGGGCTCTCGGATGTTATCCAAATTACAAATTTTTCTCAGACATTTTAAAAATTGATACAAAATTATAAGATTCAATCCTAAAGGCCCTGTGACATAGTTAATCTTCCTTAAAAAAAACTCTTTCCCCACTCCCTCTCACCCTTCTTCCACGCCTTATTGCTATTCTTTACTCTCTCCTTCCCTCTCTTTACACACACACGCACACATATATATGTACAAACAAACACACACACACACATATAAGAAGAGATACGTAATCTCAAGACTAACATACCATTCAACCCATCCTAACTAACCCTCTCTTTTCTTGATTTTCTTCTACTAAATATTTGCAAGTGCATACCAAACACAACCTTGTGTCCATTCAACACAAAAAATGTTATTCAGACAGAGAGACAGAGAGAGAGAGAGAGACAGACAGACAGACAGACAGACAGACAGACAGACAGACAGACAGACAGACAGACAAAAGAAAAGAAAAGAAAAAAGTACATGTAGGACCTGACAATGACACCCTCCACCAACCACCTTCAACTTATGAACCTGCCAATGCCAATCGCTTTGAAGGACAAGTGAGCTAAACCTAATAATTTACGAGGTTTCCAGAAATCTTGACCTACACCAAAAGTGGGCATTGCCCTACCTATAGCAGAAGTTTGGTTTCATTGGTGTGTATATTTATTTAGTTATATAGAGAAACCTCTCCTGGTCTTTTAAAGAAACTGCAGGCTTTTGAAAGTATTTTAATGGGCCAACCCCCCAAAAATGGTCGACACCTCAAGTGAAGAGTTCATTATGTCACAGTTGAAAATGACCCCAGACTGAGATATATATATTCTTTTTTATCATTTTAACTTGAAAACTGTTCCACATAATAGAAGTACCTATGTGTTTGGCAGAAAATTTAGTCCACTGTAATTTTGATTTTCATATTTTTGCACTTTTGAAAATATACATGAATGTTCCTTGATGTGAGTAAAAGAATAAAGATGGAAGTGAATAAAACAATTGTTAAAACGTGCAGTGCAATCTTGCGCCAATCTGCGCGGAACATATATCCATGCATGTTCTTCATGTATATTATGTAAAGCATATGGAACATTGATTGTAACACAGACTTGGGCGATATAAATGTCATATTATTAGTACTATAAGCGAAAAATGTAATATTACGGGGGGGGGGGGGGGGGGGGGGGGGCAAATGTAAGAAAAGTGAAAGGGGGGGGGGGTTCAAAAAATCCCCAAAAAGGTGTAAGATTAAATTTCAACAGACCCTTTAAAACAAGCAGTCGAACCTGTGTAAGATGGCAACCCATTGTCAAGGAGAAAAGTGGCTGTATAAGACAGGTGGCCATTTTAGACAGGACTGATCAAAATGAAGAAAACAAACCATTCCCTTCTGAGGTTCCAACCGAAGGTAGCCTTGTTGTTGTTGTCGTCGTTGTCGTTTTTTTGTTTGCTCTTTTATTTTGTTGCTGATTTTGTGCAAGGGTGACAATAAAACGAGTACAACCGAATGCCATGTTAAAACAAACACAAAGGTTGCCACCACTCGGACAGTAAGCGACGCTTCTGTCGCAAGTTCATGTTGACATTCATTGTCAACTTTCTAACGGACTGGGTAAACAGTGACCATTCATCTCACTTACGGTTTGCGTAGCCTATGAGTTCTGGGCGGGGCTTATCTCACCAGCAGCTGAAAATTTGTTACCTATTGGTCAATAGTCGGTTGGAGGGACTACCTTTATCTAACAAAAATGACAGGAGATTGGATTAGGACAGCTCGCCCACA